TAACATTTTTTAAAGCTCCTAAATATGAGCAGATCAGTTTTAATGCTGACTGGGTTTTTGTGATGGAACAAAAGCAGTGACGTTATTCCACACTTGTTGGCTATTTTTTGAAAACCTAAACAAATAAATCCATCTTTTTATCAAATTTTTAAATTTCATTTAAATTGATAGTTCAGACCTTTTGAAGTGAGTTTCTGTGGAAAGTTTATGAACAGGTAATATCTTACCTGCTGTAGATATTTCTTTCAGTGACCTCAGTTTTTAAAGAAACAGTTCATTTCTGATTGGATTGATGAGTCAGTGGCTGGTCAGAGAGGGGCAAAGGTCAAAGTGGATCACAATCTTCTTATAAGAGCTCCAATCTCAGATTTTTAGCGGTTCATGTTCAAGTTTTGTAAATCTTTATAACCATCAACAGGTTTACATAACAATGGTTATTTTCATATAAACCTGGGTATGTGCAAGCACAACATTGGCAGATAGCTGTAGCACTTCCAGTACAGCCTGATGCTCTTTCTCAAATAAATTAATCACGTTTTTTTTATAAACTTTTAAAGCCGTTTCCATGGAAACTGGATCAGGGGTTGCCACAGCGAGCAAACTCCTACAAGGATTGTTTTACATCAGATGAAGTTCCTGACCCAACCACAGACCACCAAGCTACCACAGCCCTCTGCTCTACACAGGAGAGCTGATGGGGCATTAAGGACCTTGCTCAAGGGTTCAGAGTGAAGAAAATGAGGGTGGAGGCACATTTGGGTGATTCAACTTTTTCACCTTTTTTGTTTTTGATGCTACGGTCAGCAGGGGGATTAGAACCAGCAACTTCCAATCTTGAGTTTGCTTCTCTAACCTCTACACAACCACTTCCTCTCAGTTCATTTCACTGATAGCAAACAATATTTTTTTAAATTGTTACCTAATTCAGGTCTGCTTGGACTAAATGCTGTGCAGCAACTAATCAACATTTAGCACTTGAGGGTAAAAATTAGTTTTTTGCTGCATCGACATGAGGTCAAAGTGAGTTAAGAATTAAAACTTTATCCTCACTGTGGCTACAGAAGGGTTAATGTCTGCAGTGGTAGGTCTTAGTCATTCAAGTATACTTTTAACACAACTCATCTGACTGGGAGAACTTTGATAAACATGTTACTTTAAAACTGTTTTTACTCAAGACTTCACAGATTTTTGACAAAGTTTGAGTTTTTAATGTGACAAAATCATTTGATCTACTGTATAGTAGGTTGTTCTGTTTTGGCATGAATAAAAATCACAATTTAACCTGGGTTAAAAACTTGGCAGCTCTACCAACTGCACCACCGTGCCGCCCTAAATCACTTCATACCGCAAATAAAATAAAACACTGTTTCATTCCTGTCATTCCATTAGTGAGGGGCCAATAGTCAGAAGTATTCTTAGCAAACGCATACCCATCAAACGTGATGAAAACAAATGATTAGATTTATGAACAATAAATCCAATCAAATCAAATAAAAAAAACGATTGCTGAACTGGAGAGAGGTCTCGTATTATCTTGTCCCAAGGCCAGCCCAAGCCTCCATGGGGCCCTAAGTGAAATTTGGTTTGGGCCCCCTATTTTTGCTAATAATGTGGATTACTGCAATCAACAGTCAGATAATCTGATCATTCACCCACCTAACATCAACACATTGCAACTCTACAAAAAAAAACAACAACCCACCAGCAATGTATTTTACAGCAAAGGTGTCATCTAGTATATTATCTTTGATTCCAAAGAACTACAAAGTACAACAATAATGTTCAAAATAATTTGTAATGCAAGATCAACAACAAACGGATAAAATAACTTAGATGCATAACAATATATTGTGCAAAAACTGATAAAATTAAATAAAAAAATTTAATATCAAGGAAATACTTAAATAATGTAAATGAACAATTACTTCAAACCATGTAAAATGGTCTAAAAATAAATATAAAGTTGAATAAATAGTTATTAAAACTATGTAAATGTATGCAAAAATCTGCAAAAAGTGAACTTAAAATATTAAATAGAATCATATAGAAATCATTACTAAAAAAAAATTAAAAAATAAAATCCACTTAGGGGGCCCTCTAGTAGCCCCGGGGCTCTAAGCAGCCTGAGCCGGCCCTGTCTGGTCCACATTTCTCAGTTGTCATGCATCCAGTAATTATTGCACCACCACCACACAACATTCTTGCATCTGTTGATCAGCAGTTACACGTGTCAAACGTTCACACTTCTGTCATGAGAATGTCATGTAACAGTAGTTATGCATTCTTCTCCTGGTCTAATTTGAACAAAAATATTGATGGTAATTTTTTGACATACTTGAAACATTTGTGCAACATAAGAAAACATGTAAAATGACGTCAAGTGAAAATGTACACATTTTCTTGCAGTTTTGTGTTTCTAACTGCTGCAGTCCAATGAGGTGCTTGCTTGTCTTTATAAGTGCCAGCTAACCTCTTTGTGTCGGATCTCAAAACTTCTGACATGACCCAGTTCAGACAGTTCGACTCGATGATTCCCAGCGTCAGCCGTGCTCAAAGTCAACCATTAAAAGTCTGCTGTCTCTACAATCTGTGTCTCCCATTCTTGAAGCCGTGCAGCCTGCCGCTTGTTGCCTACAGATGGACCCAGGCCCGGGTCGGTGGAGTTTGATGCTGTTTCACTTCAACACGTAGCTGCAGGTTTGTTGGAGTCAAACAAGCATGTGTGTGAAGAAGATGGTACACATGCAAACAAAGGCTCCAAAGGCAGGAAGTTAAAGAAAACAAGTTTTGCCCAGATGGATCTTCCAACATAAAAGGAAATAAAAATCATGGCTAAATGGTAAAAATGAATAAAATAAAATAAATAAAATGATCTGACAGAGAACACTGTAAACCAGGGATTATTCATAAAGGTAATTTTAAGTAACAATTGGTAAGCGTGGTAATAAGTAAACTGAATCAGGGTGGACTCATGTTCTCCTGTTTGTGTCTTTTAAGTTGTCTTTTTTAAAAAAATAATAAATGTGTGAGCATCCAGAATATTTTAAAAGCTGGTAATGCATGTGATTACGAGCAGACGTTTTAAAACCTATACGTGCTGTTATAATTTTTAAAACAGGTAAAATGAGAAATAAAACCTCTGACCATGACCTTCTTCATGGACACTATTTGCTGAGTAATGTCCACGTAGACAAGTTTTGGACTCAGCAGGGCCAGAGCGGACCCTCAAGGTTTCAGCAAATGATAGTGTTTCCTTCTGAGGATTATTTTGAGGATTATTCATGGGGACGCACTGTTCAGCTTCAGGAAAGGGTCAGGAACATCAAGAAAAGGCTCAAGTGTTTAAAACTGTCAGCTGTTGTCTGCAGAGTCTGGGTCACTCGTGCTGTCACAGGTGGAGTCCTTTTAGTCCTTCAGAAAAATACAGTACAGTGAACCCTCGTTTTTCACGGGGGTTGCGTTCCAAAAAGAACCCGTGATAGGTGAAATCTGTGAAGTAGTAACCTTTATTTTTTTTACAATTATTATACAATGAAATGCTCCATAATACATTCAAACCAAAGAACAAAACCTTTTTACAGGCCCAAGCATTTGTTTAACAAATAAAAGTACTGTATAAACGTTTTTTACAAATGACTACTGTACTGGAGAGACTGTTTAGCCAATCAGAATGCAGAACACAATGCATGATGCAAATCCGTGAAGCAGCGAGATCGTGAAAGGTGAACCGCGTTACAGCGAGGGTTCACTGTATAACATTATATAAGCCTCTTTTTATCTGTGCAACATTAAAATTCAACACTTTAAAAATCGTTCTGCAACACGTCTGCACTTTATTCATGTACACTAACCTGCAGTTACTGTTCATGTACTGCAAGCACATGCATTCAACGTCCAAAGCTTTATTTTACGACTTGAAATTTGTTTTCTTCATATTTTCAAGTTTTCTAACTGGGCAACCACTGGTATGTTTCTAAACATGACTCTTCAAGGCATGAAAGAAAATGGAGAACCTTTGAATATTTTGAAACATTTTCAGAAACTTCCTCAAAAATGCTGCTTGCCGTTCGTTGCCAACAGTCAGGATGTTGACCCCAAACATGTCACAGTCGATGGTGGATAGGACCCAAATGCAGACAGACAAAGAGGAGCTCGAGCAAAAATAAAACGCATCCAAACAACAAAACAAAATGCCAACGTGGCGGCAAAACTTCCTGCTGAGAATACACAGGGGGAGCACGAGGAGGACCAGGAGATCTGGGTAAAACCAACACAATGACCTGCTGGAGAGGTGGAGACTGGTTCTACAGAAAACTGAGGGAGAGCGGAGGAACACCTGGGCTGATTGTTAATCAGGAACAGATGAGGGTGCAGACTGACAGAACACACAGCGAGGAAGCTGACAGGGTCAAATGACACAAGAAACGCTGGTGAACTAAACAAGACCAGAACCAGAACAGAACTTAAACAGAACCTTACAGTGAAACACAAAAAACACGAGATCTGAACAGGAACAAAACCCAAAGGATAAAAATAATAAACCACGAAAGTAATACTATGATAACTATAAGGACTAAATAAAATCACAGAAAAGTGACAATCATTTAATGATGATTCAATGTGAAGCATCATAATTCATATCAAAACACGGATTTAACTGCTGTTCATGACCTGATTCTGACTCGTGGACTTTGAGTCCAGTGATGTTTGTGAGGTTCTGGTACAGTGCTCAGATTACTTCACAACGAGCAGGACAGACAGGAAGAGAGGCGGGGAGAGGGAGGAAGAAAAGGGGGAGGTCTGAGCATCCTCCCCTCCTCTCTCTGCTCCTCCCCTCTCTCCCCTCTCGGCATCTCTCCCACGCTCCGGAGCTCAGCCTGCAGCTCCCCCGATCCTCCCAGATCCTCCTGGGGCTCGGCTGGATCCTCACCCTCCCTCACCCTCCCTCACCCCCGTGTGTGTTTGTAAAAACGCACAGCAGCGTGAGAGCCAGCATACTTCCCGTGTGCTCGTCTCCTGCAGCAGAGGTGGGCGTGAGGAGCTTCTGACCCTCTCTGTCGTGTCTGCAGCTCCGGAGGAGGAGGAGGAGGAGGAGGAGGAGGAAGAGGGGCGGACATGGATGGACTGCGTTTACCTCCACTCATTGAGGAGGCTCTGGACTCTACAGGTCTGTCTGTGCAGCTTCTCTCTCCGTGTTGTTTCTTCTGATGCTTTGCTGCTAAACTGTTCACTTCAGAAGAGAGGTGATGGATGCAAGGATGGACGGACGGATGGATGCATGGATGGATGGTGGAATGGTCGGATGGATGCATGGATGGAGCTGATCATGTGATCTGAGGTGGAGCTGACTGTCTGAGAGCATCAGGGCCAGATAAGGCATCATTTGACGGACCCAACACATAGCCAGGTAATGAATGGCTGACAGCCAGAGACAGGAAGTAGTCTGAGCCTAAAGTCCTGGCTGTGTTTAATCAGAGCCATATGTTGTTGAGCACATTTACTCCATTGGCTCGTGATTGTCCAGAACAGCTGCAGCTTCATTTCACTGAGGACACTGCATCTTTGTTTAGAAAAAACAACAACTTTTTATTTCTTTTCTTGCACGTTGCTCTGCTTAAGGAAGAAGTTGTGCATGTTTTGAAAGGGTGTGGAGAACGAGCAGCCCTGTGAGGGACAAGGCTCGGAGGATGTTTGTCTGTGTGGAGAGGCTGAACCACAGGTCAGGAGCAGTCTGACCCACATCGGCCTGCCTGAGATCAGCTTCCTATTCCTGTGCAGAAATGCCCTGAAACTGAACTTTAGTGGGATATTTATTAACAGGAAACTCTACATGTGAAATATCCTGATGCATGCTCAATAATCCCGGTAGAAAAAAAAACAAAAAACATGTGAAACCTCAAATAAGGCTCGCTAACAATTTGCCTCCAAACCTAAAATATATTTTAATGCACCTTTACAATGAAAAAGTAGGTTTCATGCAACAGTTCAGCGCTTTTCAAGTTCGATTCTAGAAAGAACAAGAAATATCTTACCTGTTGTAGATAGATATTTGAACAACCTGTTGGGGGAAAAAATGGAGTTTAATTTTGGCCAGACTGATAAGATAAAGGCTAGTCTGAGTGGGACTAAGACCAAAGAGGAGGGTACTGCTAGCAAAACACTCTTCAAATTAATTTGTGAGGATTACATTTTTTAAATGCTACTGCTAAATCTGTTAGACAGGAATCTTTTTATTTCTTAATTTCTACTGGACCAATGGATCAAGCCTGAGCGGAGGGCAAGTATTCTGGCAGTAAACTGAGCTCACCAGTGACTATGGTTTCCACTTCATAATCCTTTCGAAATAAAATATGATATCAGAAATAGATGCTACTAGATTTTTTTATTTAGCCTTTATTTATCCAGGTAGTTTCAATGAGTCACAAGAACTCATTTTCAAGAGAGACCTGTTTTAGGGAGCAGATGGTGGAGGTTGAGGGCCTTGCTCAGGGGCCCAGAGTGGGACAGATGGGGGTGGAGGCAGGTGTGGGTGTTTCACCTTTTCCACCCACATTTTGATGTTGACGGTACCGGGAGTTGAACCTGCGACTTTCCAATCACAGGCCCATCTTCTAACCTCTGCACCACCACTCCCCCAATGCTACATGTATAATTTAGTTGTAGGTAATGTGTTGTAAAAAAAAGCAACTCAACTGGGTAAACACTCAAGTAACTAACTGTGTCAGTTGCGAGCGTAAACAAACAAACAAACAAACATTGTGCCGGTTATTAATTCTTCAAATTTTGTTTGATTTTGTTTAGACTTTGAATATTTAAAAATCACCGCCCATCCCGCTCTTCATGTGAACGCTGGTGTATAAACATTGACATAGCTGTTATTTCACATTACGAAAGCATTTAGGAAAAAATATTATGACATCCTAGCAGGAAGTGCCCCAGACTGCACAGGAAGTGCTACAGCTAGCTCTTGATGACGCTACTTCCATTTGCAAATGACCATAAGATTTTGGCTAAAATCTGTGTGATGTAAATGACGTTGACGGAAAGATTTATTCAGTCGTGTTTGCCTGAACTACATGAGCTTTTTGAGTTCGGGGTTGTTTACGGTCTACAACTTTGGTCTTGGTCCCTCTCAGACACGGCAATTAGCATTGGCATAACATTAGCGCATCAATCTGGTCAGAATTAGTCTGTTTCTCCAAACTGATGTTCAAAGAGATATCTACAACAGGTAAGATGATAACTGTGGAAAACTGTTCCATAAAATCCCACTTCAGAGAGTCTGAATTACAGATTGACGACCTGAAACGCTAACTTGCATATATTTCCAGAACAGAAACACTGGTTAAAGTCAGATTCACCACTTTTTTAGTTTCACAATCAGAACCTTAAGGTTTTCACAGACATGACCTTGCTTTTTTTTTAAATCTCTCTAATCTCTTATCTCTCCGTGTGCCACACGCTACCGTCATCAGTCACGCTTTTGTTTTGCCGTGTTTTGGGGAATCAACATTCTGTAAGTTAAGTCATGCACAGAGCACAACTCATTTAAAAACCTTTAGCAATAAAACTACCACATATAGTTCTGCTGACACGAACATTTGTACAGAAAAGAATGAAATAATGGAAGTCTTTTGACATGCAGTGCTTTTTAAACGTGCAATATGAACTTATTAAAGCAGCCTTATAGTCAGTTTTGCACAGCTGCAGGCTGCGGGTGCATCAGCCATCATAACGTGGATGCTCTCAGGAGAAATTTGTCCTCCCTAACAAGCTTGTTCCTGTTATCTTAACTCCAGGGACCTCTTTCCTTTCATCATAACCCAAGGCTTGCTTTTAAAGCTTCGAGTTTAGCGTCGATCCATGGCCAGTGTGCAGCTTTTAGAAACGTGATCCTGACAGATCCACCGTGATACAAACAGACATACAGCGAGTGTAAAAACAGACGGAGCAACGGCCGGCGTTAACTTGTGTCATTCAGAGCTACACTCAGAAATGTAAGTGGGTTCCAACAAACTCACTCCACCCTGGATGAGGTCAGTTTTAATGCGGCACCATTCCCCAGTTTGGACTCTCAGAAAGGGGAATCTTGTGGGACTCATTCAGCTTCAGAAATAAAAATCTTATCCTTAAAGTCAACCACTTTAAGATAAACATTCCACAATTACTTTCTGAGAGATTCATTAAAGTCATCTCTGTGGTTCATGAAATATTTTGCTAACAGCCAGCGTGGGTTGACTCGAACAGATGTTGACAAAGCTTTTGAACAAAGATCTTGTTCTGTGTGTAGCACTCAGAGTGCACGTTGGGGGACGACCCTCAGGTACAACCACGCCAAATGTTAGCTCAGTGTCTGTCAAACTGTGTTAGCTGAAGTCACTTGGCTGCAGCGGCCATTTAAAATGGGTTGACTTCAAAACTGCATCAGTCATAGAGAAACTTTAAGTCATTACTTTCAGAGAATTTCTTTAAACTTTGCCTGGTGGTTCAGGAGATGTTTTGCTAACAGGCAGCTGGGGTTTAATCTGACTGTTATTAACCTTTATTTAACCAGGCAGATCCCAGGGACATGACAGATGTCTCTGTCAGGCGAGGCCTGGGTCTGACTGCACACTGAACATGGATGGACTGGAGAAGGAAACTGGGATACCCGAAGAAAACCTACGCAAACATGGAGAAGTCGCAAACCACACAGAAAGACCCCTGGTCCAAACTGGGTTTGATCTTCTTGCTGTGAGGCAACAGTTCTAACCACTAAGCCACCATGCTACCCAAGTTTTAAACAAAGATTTCAAGTCATCTGTATACTCGTATATGTTGGATAAAAATATCCTTTATTCGTCTTCCTTACTCAAAGAAGCCACACTCGACACGAGAAGATTTTTAACTGGTTTTACTTGCAAGGACAGACTTTCACAACAGGTTACACAGACGAAGGAACTGAGGAACAGCATCTACCCTGAAGCTGTTAGACTCATGAATCTCTCACCAGGATAATCACTGTGTAATGTCACTTGATTGTTGATATGTGCTGCTGATTGTCCATGCTGCTGATCTCATGCTGCTGATTTATTTCATGTTGCCTTGTTCATTCGTACTCATCTGCTCACACAGACTCATGTTCGTGCTGTTGTTGTTCGGCGTATTGTTTTCATGCTACTAGTGCTTAGTTTATTTGTAGTTACTGTTTTTCTTAGTTCATATCTAAGATCTTATTACTGATTTTCTTTAACATTTTATACTTTTGTTGAACGAAACTGGGACCCTGAGTACACAATGTTGTTCCACCACATGTACCACATATGGTGCGTATGACAAATAAAGAAACTTTGACTTTGAGATGTACAGAAGTTACACGCATGGAGCCCAGTCAGGAGAATCTGCCACGGGCAGTGTGCGAGAATTGTTTTTATAATCTTATCAGCTCTCACAGACAGACACTGATGACCTCGGTCATCCAGCGGCACATGCAGGATCAAATCAGCTCCTCATTCAGCTCTCTCTGAGAGAAAAAAGAACTCTCTGCTAACTCAAACACATGGTTCATGGGCAGTTAACATTCTCAGCCATAATACAGTAGTTAAAAACATCCATTCAAGAATTCCAGGATTCAAGGTTCTTTATTTGTCATATATACATGTGGTGCATGTGGTGGAATGAAATTGTGTACCCAGGGTCCCAGTTACATCCAACAAAAGTATTAAAATGTAAAAGAAAATTCATAAACATTGACCAAAATTCCCTGACATTAAGCTTACAGTACTCCTGACAGGAGTCAGGGTAAGAAGGACCCTCTTACCTCGACGGAAACAAATTGGATTCATGATGACAACTGTTTTTTTACTCTTTGGGTTGGTGAAATCTGGATTGTCTACAAATTCGTGTGGATGTGTCGATACTCGGCAGCACTCAGACTGAATTACGTGGAGCTGCATCAGAGAGCTGATGCAACTGTTATCAGGACTGTGAACTCTTTAGCAGCACATGAAGGTGGGAATAATCTTGGAGAAGCTGTAAGCTCGGCTTTAAGGAATCAGTTCGGCTGTTTGGAGTTTCTATCAGAGAAATGTACCAACGAGACTTTAAAAGGCAGAAACGGCAATTTACGAGTTCTGTCTGACCCAAACTGTGGTCTTGACTGCGGACTTATCTCAACTCCTCCTGGAA